TCGCCGCCGCCGTCGGCCTCGCCCTCGCCTCCGCCCCCCTCCGCCTCGCCGTCGCCGCCGCCCCCGTCCGTGCCGCCGTCACCACCGCCACCGTCGGCGTCGCCCTCTCCGCCGCCGCCGTCCGTGTCGCCCTCGCCGCCGCCGTCCGCCCCGCCCTCCCCTCCGCAACCGTCCGCCTCGCCGTCGCCGCCGCCGCCGTCCGTGTCGCCGTCGCCGCCGCCGCCCTCCGCCTCGCCCTGGCCGCCGCCGCCGTCGGCCTCGCCCTCGCCGCCGCCGCCGTCCACCTCGCCCTCGCCGCCGCCACCGTACGTGCCGCCCTCGCCGCCGCCGCCTTCCGACTCGCCCTCGCCTCCGCCCCCCTCCGCCTCGCCGTCGCCGCCGCCCCCGTCCGTGCCGCCGTCACCACCGCCACCGTCGGCCTCGCCCTCACCGCCGCCGCCGTCCGTGTCGCCCTCGCCGCCACCGTCCGTGCCGCCGTCACCACCGCCACCGTCCGTGCCGCCGTCACCACCGCCGCCGTCCGTGTCGCCCTCGCCGCCGCCGCCGTCCGTGCCGCCGTCACCACCGCCACCGTCGGCCTCGCCCTCGCCTCCGCCCCCCTCCGCCTCGCCGTCGCCGCCGCCGCCGTCCGTGCCGCCGTCACCACCGCCACCGCCGGCCTCGCCCTCACCGCCGCCGCCGTCCGTGTCGCCGTCGCCGCCGCCGCCGTCCGTGCCGCCGTCACCACCGCCACCGTCCGTGCCGCCGTCACCACCGCCGCCGTCCGTGTCGCCCTCGCCGCCGCCGCCGTCCGTGCCGCCGTCACCACCGCCACCGTCGGCCTCGCCGTCGCCGCCGCCGCCTTCCGACTCGCCCTCGCCGCCGCCTCCCTCCGCCTTGCCGTCGCCTCCGCCACCGTCCGTGCCGCCGTCACCACCGCCACCGTCGGCCTCGCCCTCTCCGCCGCCGCCGTCCGTGTCGCCCTCGCCGCCGCCACCGTCCGTGCCGCCGTCACCACCGCCACCGTCGGCCTCGCCCTCGCCTCCGCCCCCCTCCGCCTCGCCGTCGCCGCCGCCGCCCTCCGCCTCGCCGTCACCACCGCCACCGTCGGCCTCGCCCTCACCGCCGCCGCCGTCCGTGTCGCCCTCGCCGCCGCCGCCGTCCGTGCCGCCGTCACCACCGCCACCGTCGGCCTCGCCCTCTCCGCCGCCGCCGTCCGTGTCGCCCTCGCCGCCGCCGCCCTCCGCCTCGCCGTCGCCGCCGCCGCCCTCCGCCTCGCCGTCGCCGCCGCCGCCCTCCGCCTCGCCCTCGCCGCCGCCGCCGTCCACCTCGCCCTCGCCGCCGCCACCGTCCGTGCCGCCCTCCCCTCCGCCGCCTTCCGCCTCGCCCTCGCCGCCGCCGCCCTCCACCTCGCCGTCGCCGCCGCCCCCGTCCGTGCCGCCGTCACCGCCGCCACCGTCGGCCTCACCCTCACCGCCGCCGCCGTCGGCCTCGCCCTTACCGCCGCCGCCGTCCGTGCCGCCCTCGCCGCAGCCGCCGTCCGTGTCGCCCTCGCCGCCGCCACCGTCCGTGCCGCCCTCCCCTCCGCCCCCCTCCGCCTCGCCGTCGCCGCCGCCGCCGTCTGTGTCGCCTTCGCCGCCGCCACCGTCCGTGCCGCCGTCACCTCCGCCGCCCTCCGCCTCGCCCTCGCCGCCGCCTCCCTCCGCCTCGCCCTCGCCGCCGCCGCCGTCTGCGTCGCCCTCTCCGCCGCCGCCGTCCGTGTCGCCCTCGCCGCCGCCCCCGTCCGTGCCGCCGTCACCGCCGCCGAGCGCATCGCCGTCACCACCGCCGCCCTCGCCGCCGCTACCGCCCGCGCCTCCGTCGCCGCCACCAGCAGCGCAGCTGCTCGACCTTCGCACGGCCACCACGTACCAGGACTCGAGCGTCTACAACAAGCAGGCGCCCGTGAGCGACCTGTCATATGCCGACAGCACGACGGGACGGCCGTGGGCCGAGTGCGGCCAATACACAAGCCACACGTGGGGCGTCGACCTCGGGAGCACTTTCGGCGG